AAAATGGTCATTGGCTAAAACATAATCGATCGTAGATAGTTGTTCATTGCGTGTCCAAGTAATTGTACCTTCACAGTTATCTGAGCAGTTAAGAATAGATAAGTCTGACACTTCACTAAATAGTTTTAACAGGTCACCATTTGGGCTATGATGTCCGTCATTTCTAAAACCAGGAATCTTACCATTAAAGTCACCCATTATAAGGATGTTATAGCCATCATTAATAGATGCTACATTTTGCTCTAGTTCATCATATAATTTCTGGGTTTTGACCATATTGTCCCGACCATCACAAGGAAAATAGACTACACATACATATATAATCTCATTGTTAATCTTCAGTTTTAAGCAAAGCCGTTCATAATCATCAGATTTCGAATCAAAGGGATTATCATCAAGCAAAACAACATCTTTGTGAATAAAAAACCCTAACCCACCACCGAGTTTGCCTTTTCTATTCTTTTCTCGCCAGACATACTCATTATCCAAGTGTATTAGTGAATTGGAATCATTAAAAAACGTTTCTGCTAGGGCAAAGAGGTCATAATGGTAATCTGTGAGAAGTTTATTAAGTTCTGCTTGTTTGGCTATTCCAAGCCTTTGGACATTGTTTTGGCCAAATTTAACAGCTGCTTTATTAGATTTTTTAACCGTATGACCACCTCGCCTTTGTTTTTTTTATGACATTTGTTTACCACATTGCGTTTTGGCTGACATTTAGTATGGAATTGGGGTAAGGCTATATCATAGCCAAGAATCTAGTTAGAATTAGCAACATTGAACTCAGGGCATTTGGTTTGTTTATGTTCTAAATAATTACACATGTAGCACCTTACAGAATGGGGATGCCAGCAAGAGCTTGCCAAGTGGGAACTTTCACCACATTTAAAACATGCTGGCTTATTCCCCTTTTTGTTCGGTGCATTGGAATGAGATGACTGATAGGTACTATTGTCTATTGACTATTGTCACATGAACTGTTATTGTTGTGTTTTTTATGACATACTGTTTGCCATCCATCAGTGTCATTCGATGAGGAGATATCCATCACATTTTGAGGGGCTTGGGGTCTATTATTGTGGTTGTTAGGGGATGGACGGGGGCGGTTAAATTGGCGTGGCTTAGTGATGTCATCAGAGATTGTATCTAGTTTCATATTATGAGCAAGTTTATTTGAGCCAGCCTTTGTTAGATGCAGTCCCCATGAATCAAGGTAACCGTCATTTATAGAGCCATCCTGGAGACGAAATATTGTGTCATTGTTTATATATGTAAATTGGTTATCATTATCGCACATTACATCAGTTCAGCAGCTTCGATGACTTCTTGGGCCTGTTTGTTATCTGTACGAGGGGTGATGCTTGACACATGAATTTCATCAGAAATGTTTTTTGCCCCAGTTGCCATTAGCTTATAGTCTTTGACAATTGATTCAGCACTGGCGTCATTTTGGGAGGAATCGTTGCTGGCAATCTGAAGAATAACACGATTGTAGGGCTTTGGTCCTGTGGTTTTCCCTAGTTCTGTTATCTCTTTATGGACATCTTTGATTTTACCCCCTCTGATACAGGTGACATCAGTGTTACGTATTTTGGTATGGTCAAAGTCACGAATTATCGAACTTCCAATTACTAGGGTCTTAGATGGATTGTCAATGGCAGATTTCCTATTGGTTAACTGTTTACGCAAGTAGATGCATTCCTCATCAAGATCCTTGCATTTGGAGGTTTTCGCAGCTAGTTGTGATACGAGGTCAGTATTGGTAACCTGAATTGCATTGAGGTTGGTTTCCATAATATCAATTTTGTCTTGAAGGCGTGCTGTTGTGGTTGATAAGTCCTCAATCTTTATTGTCAGTGTAGATATCACTTCGACTAAGCGGTCAATGGAGGAATATGGAGGTAGCAAAGACTTGGAGGGACGACCTCTTGTTGTTTTGGCTTTAGTTGTTTTGATTTTGGCATTAGATTGAAAACTTTTGGGGGTCTTTGGGGCATTTTTAGAGTTGCGTGTCCCTAACCTTGTTTTACGCCTGGTCACTGCCGGGGATGGTGTTTCTTGCGTGAACGGTCCAAGTGGTGTGCTTGGAGTAGTAGAAAGAGTGTCAGCTTCTTGTACAGACCCAGGGGAAAACGTACCATCAGTGTCAATAACAGTATTTTGAGATGGTCTTTGAATGGCATTTGTGTTCTGGGTAGAGTCACTCATGTTGAATGAGTCATTTCCAAACAATTGGCTCAAAACAGGGTCTGTAGTACTTCCATTCCTGTTAGTTACAATGTTAGTGACCATACTAAGCCAATAACTGGCTGTTAATAGCCTAATGCCAGGTTCAGTGTAAGTTCAAGATCTATAATTAACTATCAGCCAACTTCCACAACTCATCCCTGGACAACTCATCCCCTATCCAGTATATTTTTTGGTTAATACATTCCCGTAATTATTATCGTTAATTACGACATAAACAATGCATTTGTGAACTCCAATAATATTTCAAGGGGTTATATTTTTCTTTCATCATTTTGCAAAGTACCCTATTACTTCTAAAGGAGTATATCATGAAGATCTAAGTACATAGGGGGGGGGGGGGGGGTATAATTTCAGGTATTAAAATAAGATTGGTTTCATAGTAATAAAAAGCTTAGACATGTGTGAATAGGATCGGGGTATCCAGTGCACCATTTTCCAGCAAAGTAATATGTTATATCATCATAATTATACATCATGATGTTACTAACACTATGGAATCAGGAAATGTATTATGTACGTCTTAGAGAGAATTATATTTGTATACTTGTATTGGTAACCGGACAACTCATCCCCTAGACAACTCATCCCTGGACAACTCATCCCCTAGACAACTCATCCCCTGGACAAGTCATCCCCTAGACAACTCATCCTCTGGACAAGTCATCCCCTAGACAACTCATCCCTGGACAACTCATCCCCTAGACAACTCATCCCCTGGACAACTAATCCCCTAGACAAGTCATCCCCTGGACAAGTCATCCCCTAGACAACTCATCCCCTGGACAACTCATCCTTTGACATGTTTGAGTAATTTAATGTAATATTATTAATTCATATATTATTCAAATGATTTTTAAATGTTTTGGTTATCATAATCAGTTTTAAGTTTCAAAATCATATTTTACATGAACACTGGTACTCCACTCGAAACATATTGTTTCGGTAACAAAATGTCAGAGCCTCAAAGGTACGACTTTTGTCTTTTCCTTATTTCTCCAGTAGTAAGTAGAATATCATATGTCTAAGAAAATGTACATGTGTACATGCTAACAAATAGTTCAGAAGACAACACCATCTTCGATTAAATACATCACTTTTGTTATGTAAACAGAACTTCAAAAATGGTTAAAGTGTGCGCCAAAGTTTAAAACTGCACAGGCGCAGCGCTCTCGCTAACCTATATAAAGAGATTACAAGGAACATGCTTCAGAGGTAAGCCAGGAAGGTGAACAATCTTCGTCCCATGTTGATTTCCCGTATAATCGTAAACAGGCAAGTTTCACCATTGAAATTGAAAATTACCATTAGATATACTTTGTAGATGTTATTAATGAGCTATTAAGTGTATGCATCAATCAATTTTGAACAATATAAAAAGTATTTGTGTTTTGTTTCACATGGAATCGTATTCCCATGTAGTACACACATAAATAGTGTACATTATGTAGTTCTTGAATAGCCTGGTTTATATAATATTGAAGCATGCTGATTGTAGAAAATTACTATTAGATATACTTTGTAGATGTTATTAATGAGCTATTAAGTGTATGCATCAATCAATTTTGAACATAGCCTGGTTTATATAATATTGAAGGGCATGCTGATTGTACACACGAGTACACGCATGAAGGCCTAATATTGATATTGCTTGCATACCTAAATAAAAATAAACTCTTCTAATCCACTAATGTAAACACGGTGGTATACGTAGACTTTAAGATCTGCACTTCTAACTCTTTCCATTTACATAACAATAGTGAGGTATTAAAGCTACGATTTTGTCTTCCGAGTACAAGTGAACAAAGACTTTCTTGAGGGGAAATCTGGAAAATTGTTTAAAAAACTGTGATATACCATGGTACTACTATGGTATTGTCAAGGAGATAATCAACCAATTAATCTGTAATTTGTTTTTTAAATATTGACCTTTAATTTTACTTTTAATATACAATTTCAATATTATGTTAACATTGATTGAAGAAGCTGCTTTGATGTCATAAGCTCCTTTGATGTCATAATATGTTTGTTGTTCAATGTTCATATATTCTTTAATCCAAAGATTATTTTTTTCACAGCAGTCACAGATGAAGTTATTGAAGTTCATGTTACAAAATTATGCAGAGAGAAAACTTTATTTTTTTCATGAAATCAAGTCATGTAATATAAGGACAAGAGATGAAAGTTTTAATTGCACGTTTGACTGTTTGACCATTTTATTTGTGTCAGTAAAGTGATGTATCTAATAAATATTTATTTTCCAAAAAAACAATTTGGCTTCATGTAATAAAGGATGAGTTGTCTAGGGGATGAGTTGTCTAAGGGATGAGTTGTCCAGGGGATGAGTTGTCTAGGGGATGAGATGTTCAGGGGATGAGTTGTCCAGGGGATGAGATGTCCAGGGGATGAGTTTTCTAGGGGATGAGTTGTCCAGTGATGAGTTGGCTAGGGGATGAGTTGTCCGTAAGCCCTTGTATTCATGAATTTAATTCACGATTTTAATTACTTCTTACTGCAGCCACTTTTATTCATAAATAGATTATACGCATTTAATGATATTTTGTTTCGATAATTGGTCAATTCATTGTTCGGTCATCAATGAGCGAAATGTTTTATACATCTTAATAAATAGTTTCGACCCACAACTGTCACTTGGTAGCATATTAAAGCCTTAAAAAGTGAGTAAAAATATGACTTCCGGTTGTCAATCTTATGCAATGTGTCCTCAACTTATATGAAATATATATTTACAGTTTTGCCTCCTATAAATTTGAATCTGCCGAACACATGGGCACTCATATAGATGCGCCTTTCCACTTCAATAGGAACGCTTCCTACGTCAACGAGATCCCGTTCGAAAATCTTCATGGTCCCGGAGTCGTTCTTGATATCCGCGAGAGGGTCAAGAAAATGGGACCCGGCAAGGAAGCGACGGTAAAAATTTCCGATGCTAAAGCTTGGGAAAAGAAATACGGCAAGATTCCAAAAGGAGCTATCGTTATAATGAACTCTGGCTGGGGCAAACACTGGCCAGATGTGAATAAGTTCATCGGACTGAAGGATCCAGACAACCCTGATGGATTAGTTCCCAGTATGCTTTCCCCGGGCTTTAGTAAAAAACTCGCCCGCTGGCTCCTAAAAGAAAGATACATCATCGGTATCGCGACTGATACTATTAACTGCGATAAAGGAAGTGCTGTAAATTATGACGTCCATAACATCCTCCTTCCACAGGAAAAATGGTGTGTGGAAATGATTGCAAATGTGGAACAGATACCCGTCAACGGGACTGAAATATTTGTGATGCCGATTAAGATCCGTGGAGGAACCGGCGCACCCGCGAGAATCTTTGCAATGTGGAATTAAACGCTGTAAAAGTCATTTTTCTCCTTCCCTACCCCATTTGAGCACACTCTGGCTTTTGGGAAGTGAATCGGGACTAAATATTAATAAGATAGGTCCTAATTTATCTGAAGACATGTCAAAGTTCAGTGGGAAATCTCATTTTAAGCTGGCGGCGGAGTGATTTTAACCTTGGTGATTTTACCAGAATTCTCTGAGAAATCTGACGATAGAGGGGGTTAGTGTCTTCAAGCTTATTTATCTAAAAAATTCGGTGGACAACCCATGGTAAGATTGTTATAGCAGGCTAGGCGAGCCTCTCCCGAACACTTTGGTATGTTACTAGGCTTGGATACTTTTCGTTAATAAGATACAGGGTAAAATGTTATAATGGCCATCTATGGGAAACTCTTCTGGAGTCTCCAACCTATATGAAATGTTTAGTGTGCTTATGAAATAAATAATTAGAAGCGGGTATTGCCACTGGGATGCAAATCCAAACGAACAAAATACTCATCAATCTGTATATATCACAATATGATAGAGGTTAGCAACTCACTTATATATAGCATGTTTATCATTCTCGTATAACTTGTGAAGCGTTTGACTACGTCATCATTTATTGCGCAGCTATATACGTCAATAAGATGAGAAAGGGAAGGAAATGTTTACTATGCTAATGAAATAAAGAGGAAAACGGCAACTTCGCGGAGTAGCAGATACCAACGAACAAAGTATGAATGAGTCTGTATATGTCACAATATCATATTTACCATCTACTCTACCCTTAATTTGCTAATTAAAATAGAAGACAGACTTAGGAATTCACGCCAATATAAGCTTCGGGTTACCATTAAGAAGTATAAATAAAGCTAGCTGTTGCTAACTCTTAGGAGCCTCAGCATCTCAAGACAATTTATCCCAAGACAACTCATCCCCAATACATGTCATCCCAAGACAACTCGGCCCGAGACAACTTTTCCGAATTTGAACATGATTTTATGCAAGAATTAATTTCAACTTTTGAAGGAATATTTGATTTTAGCAGTAGTTCAGTGTGATTGGCCATGGATCTTTGTTTTTATTATATACATATTTTCATGCTGACACATTTTATATTTTTATGCTGTTTTTTCTTAATATTTCTATATTTTGTAGTAAGTTAAGTTTAGTTATTCTTGTTTATTCATTGTGATAAAGATAAACTTGTTCACATTAATATATACTTTGATTATTAAATAAACGATTTTGTATACACGTTTCATGTATAATTACAATTTGGTAGTGTAGGCATGTCTTTCACAATAACATACATACCTCAATAAATTCCAAAATCTTTAAGGCAGTTTTGAATTTCATTAAATAATCGATAACAGTAATTCAAATTCAGGGCACCAACGGGGGTACAGACAGGTAGAAAAACAGATAGTATCTAAATTATATATTTTTCTTACTCTAATAACGACTTTGACTAAATGTTATATTATATTGTAATTTAAATTCACTTAAAGCGGCAGTAGAAATGCCCTTTCAGGGCGATTACGCCGTGAATAACAATGAAAATTTATCTATGATTTTATGAAATAAAGAGTATTTATTATAAAAAAAAAAAAATCTTGAATTCCTATTGTAAGCTCTGATTTGTTTCATATCTCAGTTGTTTCTGGTTAATTTGCAGAAAGAGATTTAGTTTATTAAAGTAAGATTTCGGTAAAGATGGCAGTAGAAATAAAAGGAGCACGGAAAGTATCGCTCATAGAGATGATAAAATAATTTAGAATTTGAAACAGGGGAGGTGCAACCAACCCACCAACTCGTTTTTTCTGAAATGTTGTCCTGATTTTCAACCCCTTCCATCCCTGCTTTTTCAAATTTTTTGCATCAATGAACTTCCCCTACTCCGGCCTTTGACATCCCTTATTACGATTTATTGATATGTTACCTAAACTGTTATAATAAAATCTTCTGAAGAATATGGATTTACAATATCTCCAAATAAAGGAATGGAATGATGGAGGGGCAAACGATTACAAAGCGCTTTTCTATATCCTTAATCGAATTTCATTTAGTGGAATCTAAAGGATCAAGTAAGCCTATAAAATATTCGCAATGAAATCAATCAGCTACGCATTTGAATTTTTTACCAGTTGTACACAACTTTGGAACAATACATTCAAAAATGAGGCAAGAACTGTTTCACTCATTATGCCTCATTCGGGCCCGCCGTGAACGGAAAGTTGGTTGTGTAGTACGCTATTTCGCTTTATCACAAAAATGCTTTAATTGCATATTTGTTTTCACCACGACACGTTTTAATTTTCATTGTAATGTCTCTTTAATATGCGTTTTAAATGTTAGTCATCTCTCAGTCCAACAACAGTCGATTTATTTCTGGTCTAAAAATACTGTAGTTAAAAGAAGATGGAAGAGCTTAACAAGTGTATATTTTATGTGTAGTTATCTTCTGTTTATTTTCATTTTTTCGAGGACTACTCATTAAAAAATAGGGAGTTTGAACAAAAATCGGGAGGGTATAATTTAAAAATCAGGATGTCTTATTAACAAGTCGGGAGTTTTGAACACAAAATCGGGATATTTCATGATAAACATCGTGATATTTCACGAAAGAATGGGGATATTTTCTTAGGGAAATTGGGATTTTCAAAAATAAATCTGGATGAGCAATGAAAAAAATCGGAATTTCTCCCGATTTGAATCGGAATTTGACAGGTAAGTATATATTTATATATTTATACTTAAACTTAGTTCGTTGGAAAAATCAATACCAAAGATGAAAGTATATAAATCGTGAAAACTTAATGGTAATTACTTATTAAAAATTAATACTGCTCTTTACGACTTATCACTTTTCAATGATTTCCTTTATAAACTTACATCGATATTATGAGAATGAGGCATGCGGTACATGCATGACTATAATAGTACATTATAGTAGTATTATGATTATAATAGAACATTCTAAGACAGCTGGGTCGACTGATCAGCATTACATATGCAATGACTGGGGAATATTGATGTTCGTGATAATTTAAGACAATTTGAGTAGGAGATGGTTTAAGTTTGGAGATGGTCAATATGAAACTCAGGCTCGTCATTTTATACATAACCTGTACATTAGCTGGTACATCGGCACAATCCAGATCTACACATATTGGAATATCACTTTCTAAATATCAATGCAAAAATGAGACATATTTTAAATTCCCCCATGCAGAGGTACTAGAAAATCCTCTGAAGGCATTTAAAGTAAGGACACACACTAGATGCAGAGCTAGCTGTTCTGTGATTCCAGATGAGTGCAAATCGTACAACCTGCGGAAGATTGAAGGTGAGAAACACATAAAAATGTGCGAGCTACTTGGACCATATTTGACAATTGAAGCTCCTACTGCAACACCAGATGATGTGGACCATTATCTACGAGAAAGTAACTATATACTTTTCATTTTAAGCGTTCTCTATCAATCATATCATTCTTCTCATTGCCCAAAACTTCAAAAACTTTTCCACTGGGCCAGAAAAATGTTTGTAAAATGCAGAAAAAATTAAAAAAGAAAAATTAAAATGTCAGCGGAATAGCCTCGAAAAATCGATAGACCGCCTCCCCCCCAAAAATAGCCTAAATCTACTTTCCCAGAAATGTTGTTTCCCCAAATAAAGTTGGAAATAAAGTCTTGGCATTTGCTGATATGGCATATATAATACTTTAAGAAGCGCAATTAAATATTTCATTTGATATTGAAGTATTATTCTTCACTTATCGTCCTTTGTCCTAAGTCCTACGGATCTAGGACGAAATATTTAACGTAAGTTTTTTCAAATATGTCTGTGTTAGATGAACCTGAAACACTTCGATAGGAACATTTCCGGACAAATGAACGTTCATTTTCATATTTTATTTTACTGTATGGTTTAACATCAGTTGATTTCATACTTCAGTCATTTTATCATGTTTCAAGGCATGTAACAAGATTTTGTGTTTTTAGTGTACGTTGAAATAAAGTGTGAACTTTGGGGATTTTTAGACACAACAAGGCATGATATGCGACAAAAATTATAAAACTGAAACAATTTTTGTTTAGCTTGCTACTAGATCTGATTCTGACAAACTGAGAAAGAACTCTTATTACAATCGGATTTGATTTCATGGTGAGAAATGATCATAATCCAAGACATAACCGTTTGTGATACATTACATGTACGTGGTCTTTTATGATATTAGCGATTAGTATTTAGGGTATTGCATGAATGTAACTTTAACTCTTCGGAATATAATATGATATTCTAATTGAAGTTATATATCATTTTAAAGTTGCAATAATGAAGTTTTCAAATCGGTACACTCCTTTTACTATTCTTGTGCGTTATTTTTAAAAATATTTTTTTACCCCAAAATCTGACAAATATCCGCTTTCGACACGTTACATTTTGAATAATTCAAACAATAACTCAAACAATATTTGACTATTATACTTTTTCGTCTTGATAAAGTAAGATGGAAGTGTTAGTTCAAAGGATGAATTCTAGTAAGCGTCCCATATTGGGACGTCATATGGTTTAAAAAATAGACTCTGTCGACAGCGACCTTTTTTGCTCATTTTTGTTACCTTCAACTTTTCAGGTGTACATGAGACAAAAAATACGAGACCAATTTTCAATAAATCATGCATGATTATTTTGCTCATTAACTCTAGTTTATTAATATAATAATATAAATATATATAAATACGATGTCAAATTTATTCGTCTTAAATATTGTGAGATATAGAGGCAAATGTGGAGGACGAAAGGATATCCATATGTGTACATTTTTCTAAAAAAAAACGTAAATTCTCTCGTGTTAAAAAGCGTAACAATACGCACGCGAACTTTTTGCGACGTCTGAAGGGATTTTGTTTCTGACAATTAACACCCCAGTCACATTTGTCGTACGAAGGCCGTGCGTCGACCGCAGATCAATTAAATCAAACTACAAAATCAAACTACGCTCGCCTTGCGGCCTCCGTACGGCGAATCCAGTTTTTTACAGGCCGCAGGGTCGCCGTAGAAATTATAACTCTGAGTTATAATATTTGTTAATTTCTGAGGTCCCCGTAGAAATCAACTGGCTGAACAAGATTGAATCATTATTTGTCAATGTTTCACGATCACTTTTCATTTGATATTACATACTAGCACTATGAATAACATTTATCAATTGTTCCGATGTAAATAAAATGAAAAAAGTATTATTTATCAACAGAAATTTAAAATTCACCGTGCGGCTGCCGTGGGAAATGTGACTGCAAAAGTATGAGAGCGCAGAAATTCCACGGCGAGCTTAGAAATGTTACTGGCCGCAGAAATGATAGACCGCAAGGTCGCCGTAGGAAATGTGACTGGGGTGTTATGGTCCAACTCCAAACTGGTCGACACAAGTGCATTAATAACTTCATAATCTAGTTTATTTCTGTTTGTCTAATTTTCTATCGTTACAGTCCCAGTTGAATGTAGAGAAAACGAACAACTGATATCTGGAGACAGGTTCTATGTTGCTGATTCAGGGTTAACTGCGTCAACCACTCATTCAAGTAGTCATGGCACACAGAGATCTAGATTAGACACCCAGGCGGGGTATGTATGTTACTTAAGATATTATTCCTACATATGACCAAGGTAGTTCAAAATAAACATCCTTAATTCTATTTTTCTATATTTGTATGGGACATATATTTCAATATTGTTTTATGGGGGGGGGGGGTGCAGTTATCAATGATACAACCGATATTAAATTGGAATAAACGATATCTGTGGTAGTATTTGAACGAGTAGGAATAAAAGTCAGTGGGGGGGGGTATAAATGCAATGTCGCAATTTTAAGGTATTATGCTTTTAGTTATGCCCCATATATTATTATTGTGCTTACATTTTGGAATTCATATTTCTGCTGTTATATGTTATACGAATATGTGTACATTATTAATCGAACTTATATCTTTATTATTTTACTGTTATATTTTACACTTCTGCTTATGTTATTATTCCAGTGGAGGTCAGACGGGAGCCTGGTCTGTTGGTACAAATAATATAAATCAGTGGATACAAGCAGACCTTGGCGAGGTCAGGGTAGTGGCAGGGGTGGTCACACAGGGAAGACAAGATATGGGCCAATGGGTTAAATCATACAAATTCATCTATGGTGAAACTGAGAATGATTTGGAAGAGTATGGAATGGTAAGAGGATATTTTTACAAGTTTCAAACATAACTCCCTTCTATATTTTGTTTGATTACTCTTGAAACATATACATCTAAACAGGTGGATTCCTCATCAAAGTCAATCTCCAATAATTAGACTTCTATACCAGCTCAATTTATTATTTTCCAATTCATGTTTTATCATCCACTTGTCTTGTTTATTTTTAAGGTTCTTCCGGGTAATGTAGACTTGAACACCAAAGTAACCAACATGATCGAGCCACCTGTCTTAGCCAGATTTGTTCGAATTAATCCACAAACTTGGCATTCATATATGTCTCTGAGGTTTGATGTCCTCGGATGCTCCTACTCTTAAGAATTGATGTTTTGGATCATAACTATGAACAATAGTGTTATCAATAGGGATTTTATTTTAACCCTAATGTACAGGGATGGGGAGTGGCTTTTTGGAAATTTGTTTTAGCTCTAAAAATGAAGAAAAACCGACTAGTATTCGAGTTATTGTCCGGAAAGGCAGACGGACTGACAGAAGAAGGGCTTCACTTTGGGATTATAAGACAATTGGTGAAGAACTAGCAAAGTTCCCTCTACCCGGGAATTTCAAAAGAAGTCTATTTCGTTTATTGAGGTAGTTTAGAAAATCTCTGCGGATATTTCCGGCTTCTATATATTAATAAATCCTACACGTTGTTTATTAAAACATATTAAAGTATAGCAAAACAAATATTTTCGGTTAATTTCCTTGTCATTTTCAAAAGTAGTATTTCCTTGTCCTCAGGTAGAAATCTCCTTATTTTTGTTCCATTGAGATGCATCATAAACTGTCAAAGTTTAAATAAGAAATTCCCAAATCTCAGCCCATCGATTTTCAAAGAACTTCAGTGAAATACAGCAAAACATCTTAATTTCCTATCAGAAAATATATTTTAAAAAGTATCCAACGAAAATCAAAACTTGGGCACTCTTTTACGGCAAATCGCCAATTCCCTACTTCCGCGAACATCCATCCGCAGAGAAGAATCTCAAATATTTTACTGTTATGAATTCTCCCAGTTATTCAGTATATGGTTTGCCTGCAAATGAGAGTATTCTATCCAAATATGGTGTTGTTGTATACCACTAAAGTCCCCAAACAGGTTTTTAAGGTACCCCATAATGTTGTTTATTTTTGTGGAGCCACTCAGTAAAATTACTATTCCTCTGCACCATAATGTTCGATCGACAAGATCATTTGGGAAACTATGTGTTCGTGAAGCGTTTGGATATCCAGAATTGACAACGTCATCAAGATGTTGGGACGCTAGATTGACGTCATTTATGAAATCGGTTAGTCAAAGAGGTTTGATATTCTTTCATAATTGCTTATATTATAAGAACTATATACAAAAATAGACTCTTCTCTATATTCCTACTGAAACTTAGTTCAGTGGGAAAATCAATTTAAAGACATAAAGCAAGCGGGAATAGTGAAATCTTATTAAAAATTAATAAATGCTATTTATCACTTATCACTTTCCAATGATTTCCTTTGTTCATAAATAAAAGATATTAGTGTTCTTCAAAAAGCCGAGGAAAATCAAAATCATAAGAATGAGGCATGCTCAGCATGTGTGATTACGATTTTAATAGTACATGTATCCCAAATGCTCGAGTGACTTGGTAGCATTAACATATGGAATATCTTTGGAATTATAGATGCTTCTGAAAGTTTAGGACAATTCAGGTATCTTAAGAGATGATCATTATGATACCCAGGTTCTTCATTTTATTCATAACCTGTACATTAGCTTGGACACTAGCACAATCCGAAAATATAGGAATATCACTGTCTAAATATCAATGCAAGAATGAGACATATATTAAATTCCCTCATGCAGAGGTACTAGAAAATCCTCTAAAGGCATTCAAAGTATTGACAAACACTAGATGCGAAGCGAGCTGTTCTGTGATACCAGATGAATGCAAATCGTACAACCTGCGGAAGATTGAAGGAGAGAAACACATGAAAATGTGCGAGCTACTTGGACCATATTTGACAGTTGAATATCCTACTGCAACACTAGATGATGTTGATCATTACCTTAGAGAAGGTAACTATTTTTAAGTTCATAATTCTCACTGCCAAGAACTTAATCGGGTTTCCTGGACTTTTAATTTCCCCTGGCCTAAAAACAAGTTTGAATAATATAAGTGCTATTACAAAATATATTTCATCTTTTATAGTAAATCTTTAATACAAACCTTTTTGGGTAACACGATATAAACCAAAACAATCCAATAAGGTGTGTATTAAACAGTGGCGGATTCGGGGGAAGCCATGCCCCCAAAAAAAGTTTGGACCTAAAAGCCTTTTTGGTCATAACTGGGCCGTCTAATGCCTTATTTTTTAATTTCAGGCCAAATTTTGAAGAAAATGGGCCTCAAAATTTCAAAATTTGAGCCCACTTTTCGGTTCTAGGGGCCCAAATTTTTTTCCGCGCAGAAGTTTTTTTTCTCTGACCTTAAATTTGGGTCCCCCTAGTTGCCTTCTGGATCCGCCCCTGTTAAAGATTAACTTTCCTGTTATCGCTAGGGATTAAGGATTTGGGATTATATTATGCAATCTTATAGTCAATAAAATGTTTTAAAGTGTATTGATGTTTTTTTGGATGAAAAAAGGATATTTATACTACGATTAGATGTTTATATTGAAAAATTATTATTTATTAAATAATCTAGGCACCGTCCTAGACTATTTTTATTTCCCCTTCCCTATTTTTTCGATATCTCATTTTCGACCAAAATATATAGCTTCAGATCCAGTATTTTTTGTTTTTGTGTTCTAGAAAGCTGGTTTACCTCATTTGACCTACTTTTTAAAGTTTTGATACACCTTCCTCGAGACTTTGAATGACCTGTTATAGGGTACCTTAATGTTTACTGTACCTCTCGAAACACCAGATAGGGGGGGGGGGGGTCATCTGAATCCCCCTATCCATTAGTGGTATGAGGATACGTTATTCACATAAGGGTCTTCTATTTCAAGTTTTTGTACGTAGAGTAACATTTACCATTTTAAAGTAATTCATATTTTTGTCTTCCGCTAGTATATTCTTTTACTCATCGAATGAACAGACAAAGACTGACGAGTGTGTGATTCAGCACACTACCTGAGTCAAAACTATAAGTGATAGGTTTCATTTATGAAATACCTGTTAGCAAAGAGCCAACAACTTTCTTATAGGTTATTGCAAGACAATTTAGACAATTATATCTTGGATTATGAACATTTTGTGATCATGATCTTAGATCCATTCATTACCTCTGATATTAAAGGCATTAACAGATCTATAGGATGTGATAAAATTGCAAATAACATGTACTGGTGAACCCTTTAGATACATTGAGCTAGAAATGGTATGCGATACCTCTCTCTCCTTGATATGTGATAATTCAGTGACGTTATTAGGGTTTATGAAAGTGTAAAAATGGGACAACATTTATTATATTCTCCCATATAATAAAAATGGAAGTCCTAGAAATAGTTCATTATTGAATTTTTTTTACCTGGAATAGAATATGCAAGTCCAGGATATAACAATCTAAAACTGTTTTCGAAAACCTTCGTGGTCTTTTAAGATTCCAGCGAAAAATATCCTTTCATACAATAACAAGGTTGAGGCCATGCTATCCAAAATATTTTGTTTCTGTCTTTTAATGGGCTAACTCAGGCAACTACATGTGCACTAATTACTTCAGAATCTAGTTCATTTTTTGTTTAAATCTCCATTGTTTCAGCTCTAGTTGAGTGCAGAGAAAACAAACAAATGATATCTGGAGATGATTTCTATGTTGCTGACGCAGGGATAACTGCGTCGACCACTCATTCACATAGTCATGGTACTCAGAGATCTAGATTAGACACCCAGGCAGAGTATGTATGTTACTTTGCGTTTTAATATTGCATTCGACCAAGGTGGATTTCTACATTTCTGTATAATATTTTCGTGGGAGTGGAACAATCAATAATACAAATGGTACTAAATTGACATAAAGTATATCTACTAATGGTATTTGAACGGTAACAGTCATTTGTCAACAAATTAAATCATATTTTTGGCGGTCTCAGTAAATCGCCGGCATAATCACATCCCACATGCTTTTTACAAAAACAAAAATCAATGCTCGCTGTAAATCATATTTTTTCGTTCATGGGATATCTTTCTCACCATATAAACGAATGTGAAGTTTTTGATTTGGACTACAGGTCATCTGGATGGGCTGACATTTGAGAAATTATAATTTGAACTTTGGCAATTTAACATGTTTCTCTGTGGAGACAAAGACGGTTGTTTTCCCCTATTACGGCATCTAAAGTTACAGTTCTAGCACCTTTCATTCCTTCTTAAATTCTAGAGAAACAATTACTTGACATAAAAATGCAATTGAATGAAAAATGATTTACAATGCATGCCCATGTAACACGATTACACGCAATCTAAATAACAATTGTAAAGGGATTTCGTTGCATATCAATGTTAAAAGAAGTTACAAATTCCGAGTGAAACTGACCAGTGCCCTGTACATTTATTGAATTACTCATCTGGATCTTGTATTGTCTACAATCTTGACTTTACTGTGCAAAGTATTATTTGTCTTTAGTTTTTTTTGGTACACTGCAAACTGCAGTCAACTGTAATCATTTCAGTGGAGGTGGAACGGGAGCTTGGTGTGTTGGTACACGTGATATACATCAGTGGATACAAGCAGACCTTGGAGAAATTGTGATAGTGACAGGGGTTGTCACTCAGGGAAGACAAGCTGGTGGCCAATGGGTTAAATCATACAAATTCATCTATGGTGAAACTGAGAATGATTTGGAAGAGTATGGAATGGTAAGAGAATAGTATACAAGTACTAGTTCAAAACTTCCTACAATATTTCGTGTTATTACTCTTGATACATAAATATGTGATCAGTTGCGTTCCCCATTAATACCATGTCCAATGATTTGGCTCATATACCAGCTCAATTGATCTTATTTTCCAATTCATATTTAATAGCCATTTGCCTCGTTTCCTTCCAAGGTTTTACCAGGGAATGTGGATGAGAACACCAAAGTAACCAACATGATTGAGCCACCTTTCTTGGCCAGATTTGTTCGCATTAATCCTCAAACTTGGCATTCATATATGTCTCTGAGGTTTGACGTCCTTGGATGCTCCTATTCTTAAGGGTTGATGGTTTCGATCATAACTATGAACAGGGGTAATAACTATTGGATGCTATTAAGACATTAGATTATACGAGTGATGGGAATACTAGGTAAATTAAAGAATCAATTAAAATCAGAAACAAGAAGAGTAAAAAGAGTAAACATACTGCCATGTTATTTACCAAACATTACTATTTATAAATAACAAAACCAGAATATTTAAATAACAGATTTATTTAGATCAGTAGATAAGTACAAACAAAGCAATTAAATACAAAAACTAACATTAATTTACTTTGGCTTGGGGCGGCACTTGATACATGATGCTAACTAAACATGTATCAATAGCATTCAAACTCACGTTCGTTCTCAAGCTAGGATCATGTGTCACGTAACAAAGTATTACGTAATAGTTGGGGTATCTGACACCTGTACATATGCTGCAGATCAGACAGCTGGATATGCCCAGTAGATAGCTCCCATGACAGAAAGGGGTGATGAGGTATCTGACTCCCGACCATGCTTGGTAGATCGCGAAGACCTGACACCCAAAGCGAATAGTGCGGTAGATAGCCCAATGATGAAAAGAGGTATCTGACTCCCGACCATGCTTGGTAGATCGCAAATACCTGACACCCAAGGCGAATAGTGCGGTAGAAAGCCCCTTGCCTAAAAAGGTGAGGTATCCGACACCCGACCATGCTTGGTAGATCGCAGAGATCTGAGGCCCAAAGCAAAAGTGCGGTAGAATACCCCACGGGAGATCTCCCGTACGGACAGTACGGAAGATTGCTAATTTTGAGATTGAATAATAAGTTGGGGTTTAGAAACGAATTAATGAGTGTAAATGCCATACCATCCCATACATTTCCATGTCTCGTTGGAGACTCCCTAGAAATGTTATACTAATCAAAGAGAAGAAAAGAATGATGGTGTAAGAGGCGGGGAGGTGGTGGTCCGCCTGTGTATGAACACTGCTTGCTAACGCCCGATAAATCAAAAACTGAAGGATAAAACAGACTGTCATGTAAATAACGAGTTACTGTGGCCGAACGCCGGGTCATCTGTCAAAGTATGGTACTCAGCGATGTATGAACAGAGTGTGTGGTCTTACCTAAAAAATTATTTATAAACAATGTTTACATAATTTGTAAACAACTATTTATAAATAACAAAACCAGAATATTTAAATAACAGATTTATTTAGATCAGTAGATAAGTACAAACAAAGCAATTAAATACAAAAACTAACATTAATTTACTTTGGCTTGGGGCGGCACTTGATACATGATGCTAACTAAACATGTATCAATAGCATTCAAACTCACGTTCGTTCTCAAGCTAGGATCATGTGTCACGTAACAAAGTATTACGTAATAGTTGGGGTATCTGACACCTGTACATATGCTGCAGATCAGACAGCTGGATATGCCCAGTAGATAGCTCCCATGACAGAAAGGGGTGATGAGGTATCTGACTCCCGACCATGCTTGGTAGATCGTGAAGACCTGACACCCAAGGCGAATAGTGCGGTAGATAGCCCCATGATGAAAAGAGGTATCTGACTCCCGACCATTCTTGGTAGATCGCGAAGACCTGACACCCAAGGCGAATAGTGCGGTAGATAGCCCCTTGCCTAAAAAGGTGAGGTATCCGACACCCGACCATGCTTGGTAGATCGCAGAGATATGAGGCCCAAAGCAAAAGTGCGGTAGAATACCACACGGGAGATCTCGCGTACGGACAGTACGGAAGATTGCTAATTTTGAGATTGAATAATTAGTTGGGGTTTAGAAACGAATTAATGAGTGTAAATGCCATATCATTTCTCCATTGAATTCATTATTTCTGTATATTATTAAAATAATTGACGGAATGAGATGGAGAAATGAATAATCCTGATCAGATCTTGGAACTACTTTTCTTGCATCTCTAAATGTTCCAATTAAGCGAGTAAGCGATTTTGTTGAAACTTTGATGACGAGATTTATTAACTAGGTGTCCGCCTGCACAGATAAATACATACCCATCAGCGCAAAAATATTAAATGTGTTTAATAAATTGTTAAGTATAATAGATTTTTATCAAAATAAATTAAATACAGATATGACTCTTTTTTGTCTGACCTTATCTGATGTATGGTCTGGTGTACCCCATAGTCTGACTATCTCACTTAAAACCACCTATTTATGTACATTTCAAAAGTACTGATAAAAATGCTGTAACTTTTTGATTTTTTCATAAATTTGCTTGGTCTTTCTAGTGTGCATTTTTGAGTGTTATACTGATGTACCTTGAAGTTACAGAAATGTGCTTCAATAGGAAGATGAAGCTGAGTTGAGCCAAAGGTTTTTTCAATGCACTTAGATTGCAAATCTCCATTGGAGAATTTATTCTTACTGGTTTGGGACCAAGTGTCATTGTTTGACCTTTCGAATTGATTAGAAAATAATGTGTAGGGGAAACATTTGAAGTTTTTTTTCAAAATATTTCTCCGCGAATCAATCAATTGACATTCTTTAGTCTTTACCGCCTCTTTGATTTTACCATTCATATTATCTGACTAGTGCAATTTCTTAGGGATTGGTGTCCAATTTTCAACAGTTTGTGGAAAAAGTTAGTTTCAGAGTCAACACTATTTACGAATCTTAAATCTTTAAATCTTAAAATGTTGATTTGTCCGTTGCTTGAATATTAAAGAGTCAACGCTATTTATGAACAAAACAAATCATTTACCCCGACCCCTTACGAAACTAACGTTGTTATCCGACAACTTTTGATATTTGGTAACCGTTCCTTATTGAGTTGCTTTTTATTGATATGTTTCCTAAAATATTATAATAAAAACTACTGATGGATATGGATTCATTATATACGTCATGCTTTGATGTAAAGACAGGATCTAGCCTTTTTAAGATTGGTTAAATAATTGCATTTACTATGTGATCAATACAACACAAAATACATAGTAAAAGTACCATAATTACTTGGCTCACAACCTAACATAGTACTTAAAGTGCATTCTAGACACAATTGTAACCTTTCAATTAGCTGCAGACACAATTTGAAGCAAATCGATGTAATACATTTCTGTTTATAAAATGAAAAAGTGATATTTCAACAAAGCTGATGACCATTGTGAATCTTTTTTTACGTATTTTGAACGAAACTTGTAGACATTGCTGATGTAAAAATCGTATTGAAAGTGAAACCATATATTGAATCAGATTTTCTAATCTATTATAGAATCCCATACTTTTGTATATTTTGCTGGTTTCCTAGTAATGCTGCCATTGTACAAGTGATTATACAATAATTTGTCATAGACAATTGAACTTGGTATGTGGTGATATGATCAATAGTCACAGTACAATACATCAAACTACCTTTCCCTACCCAGTCGAAATATAGGTTTACTACGCCCCTTAAATGATATATTCTAAAAGAAACAATTGCCATGCCAAGGCATCATTGGTTTCCGATGGAGACACGCTGAGACTCCAACCAAGCTTTCTGACTAACTAGTGTGGTGGTCCATCTGAGGCAAACATTCTAGAAAGCAGGCGATGGGAAACTTAGAATAGCTACATGTAATCAATGATTGGTACTATGAGATGTTGATGGTGTGCTTTAAAATGTGTTATTTTCGTGATTTCGTTCCTTTTAGTTGATTTTATAGAAAAATTGCAATGTGTGAAAAGAATTTAAGCCCAAGACTCAATGCATTGTAGCTGCTTCATTCCATTCATGCGTTGTTTCCTAAATCTTGCATTCCCGCTGCGCGGTCATGTAAAGGTTTGGAAACAACACCTTCATAATATGATTCAGCAAACAACCCTCTGAGTCTTGGGCTTAAATCCTTTAATACATATTGTGTATTTAAGAAATTAGACCAAAGAGCAGGTATTATATCGACGATTAAATACCACGGGGCCAGGTACAAACGTTTTCTGTACCCGGAACGGCCAAAGGGAGCGAAAGCGTTTGTGCCTAGCCCTTAAGTATTTATTACTCGATATAATACCTGATCTAAGTTCTATATTACGAATGGACCTTTCTTTGGTTTGGCAACGGCCTGTTGATTTCTACGGGGATCGCAGAAATGAACAAATATTATAACTCTGATTTATTCGGCTACCCTGCGGCCTGTAAATAATGAATACGACGTACGGAGACCACAAGGCAAGCGTAGTTTTACTAAGCTCGCCGCAGAAATTCACTGATGTTATTGATCTACGTTCGACGTACGGCCGCCGTGCGACAAAAATGTGACTGGGGTGTTATCTAGCACTGCAGTATATTAAACCTTTTATTTCATATTATTTGAACCTTTTCACCCAGAGTTGTTCCTACACGGGGAGATATGCCGAGTACTAAAATAACACCCATGGCATTTTAAAGCTAATTGAGTACTCATTTCATTAAATATTAGTACAATATGAGCACGTGCAGTGATAAAATAGCGCTAATTTCATTGATTTTTCATTACTCAATGAGCACTCATACATATGCCGAGTGTTCTTGGCATGATTGATCAAGAGCGCGATTTTGCGAGTGCTAAATTACATGAATTAGTACTTATGTTGTACTAATTGAGTAATCGACATATATCCCTGTGTAATAGAAAACATAAAAATGAAAGAAATATTCCAATCTGAAAATACTATAAAAGAGGTTTTGAGATAATTAGAT